AGCCAGTGGGTGAAATAAAATATTTCGGCAGTCAGGAGACGCATTCAAAGGGCAGGGCCTGAAACGCACAGAGCAATTCCATACGTTGACTGGGAGGCATCTACGGTAGCAAAGAGATGCGGTTCCCAGTACTGTATAAATGCAGGGACACATAAGCGCTGCATTAGAGTATATTTGCGATAATTTTGCAATGTATGTGAGCTCTCTGTTGCATTTTTATCCCATCCTTTCTCCAGGCAGTTTACCTGGACTCTCCTTTCCCCACTGTCCTTATGAGGTGAGGTGCCCCAAGGTTACCCGGCAAGGGTTGTGGCTGAATGGAGATGTGGCTTTTGTGGGATCCATAGGGTGACTGTGGAGAACTGTTCCCGTTTGTCGGTTTTGATAATACTGATTGATTTATAGTAATGTTTTATAATGCCCCGCTGGTGGCTCTCCTAATGGCACCTGGTTCTTCCAGTGTTCCCTCTAAGTTGAGTGAGTGTGAGCTAGCTCACAGTTTTTTAGCGTCTGGCTCACACATTTTTGTCTTAGCTCAGGAAGGATGGCTCCAGAGCAAACTGATTTATGCAGTGGCCAAATCGCTTGCTCACAAAGTAGAATTTTTGCTCGCAAGACTCCACAGCTTAGAGGGAGCATTGCAGCCCAGTGTTGGACTGGAAGGACCATTGGCCTGAATCCAACAAGGGTTCCCTTATGTTCTTAAAGTGCTTGGTGTATGCGTTCAGTCATCATTACATTATTGTTATCCCTGAATTGTGGGTGGGAAAAGGTGGCTTGCCCAAGACAACATCTGAGGGGAGTCTTCTTTGTTTGCTGGTGCCAGTTCCTCCTAGCCATTCTGCTGTAGTTGCTCTTGTGGTGTTATAAACACAGCTCTCACAGCTGCAACTTTTGTACTTTTTTGTTAATCTGTTATAGCCGCTGTCCCCTGATTCAGAATCACAGGACTGAAACACTCATAGCTCCCAAAATTGTGATGAGGTGATTAATAAGTGATCTTCAGTGATAAAGGTGTCAGCCTTTTGATCAAATGGAATACATTACATGTTCTATGGTGTATTAACTATAGCATGTTACTTGTCTGTATAACTGATTGTATTAGGTAATTATCCACCAACGTAGTATTGCACATCTGTGTAACTCTTAGAAAGCACTATTAAAGCATATTGTGACAAATAGGTGTGTAACCCATATGACAAAGTACAGTTATATTTTCTCACACACTATGGTCCTGGTCACACAGCGAATTTGCTGCGGGAGAGCCACGGGTTGTGGGTGGATTATCGGGGCGCAATTACACCACAACATCTGGCAAGTGGAGCGCACCCATGGCCAACCCTTGGCATACCACCGAAAAAGCGCAATAAAAAACAGTACCTCAGATGTAGTGGCAAATGGTTTGCCACAGGCTGCCTCCGGACTCCTGCGGTGTGATCACGCCAGCGCGCTGCGTTTCCCTCTGGCCCCTTGTTAATGCACAGGCGGGGAGGACAGGACCCGTGGTTTGCCGCCAACGCATCAGATCGCGTTCTGGTGGCTCTAATCGCACCGGAGCAATTAGCTACGCCTCCCCCCCCCCCCCC